GCCTCGTGTGACTAGATGTGCAGGACGAGCCAGTCCGAAGTCAATGAGTTTAACCTGGAGAGGCTTCCTCACGTGATCCACCAGCATGATGTTCTCCATCTTCAGGTCGCCATGGACTATTTTCAGGCTCTTCAAAAAGGTCAGAGCGTCGGCCATCTGCAAAGTAAGTCCTTGAGTTTAATCCTAATAAAGACCACATTTGTCTCATTAAAATGTGTATACTATACCTGTGTGATAATTGGCCTAATGTGCTGAAGCGGCAGAGGTGAGGACTTTTCCAAAAAGTCATCCAGACCCATATCCAGCACCTCAAACTCAAGGAAAAAGTGACCATTAAAGTCAAAGCTCTGGAACCATTGTACGATGTTGTGGGACGCAGATCCAGACTTGCTCAAGAAACTCAGGAAATTAGCCTGTAGGGGGCGCACATGTACAACCATTACCAATAGTTCGCATTATTCATTCTCCCACCGGAGTCATTGCCAGTATGTCTTAATCATGCTTCGCCATTTTAAGTCTTTGACAGGATCTGACTTTTTCTCAAACCAATCAAAACATTCAAAATCGGTGTATGAATGTATAGAGTATGCAATTGTTGTAGACCATTCTGCGGTTATGAGATTTTACTGAGAAAGTCGGAACGTGTCACTGAGACACGGGGGTGAGGCTTAGCGAGTGAGAAAGACCTACTGGCGTCCAATCAACAAGTGTTTCACCGTCTTACCTCACGGCCAGGATCCTTAACCACCTTCAGCGCCACCTTCTGGTCGGTGTTGTCTTTCGTACAGAGGGCGACCGTGCCGAAGCATCCTGAGCCCAGGATCTTCTGCAGCTGATAGGAGGCGAAAGGCGAGGAGATGCTGCCCCCAGCCTTCATCAGGTCGCGAATCCACTTCATGAGAGAAGTAGATGATGCCGACGATGCAGAGAAAAAGATCTGTGGAAAATGACAAGGTTCAAACACTACAGAAAACATGGCGCTCATGATCAGCCCCTTTGGCAGTGTGTGTGACATCACATCTAATATTGGCCAAAATATGGGCTAGCGTGGACTTTGGGATACAGCCCATGTCCAAGCCACAGTAAAAGAGGTAACAAACACTTCAGGAAGTGTGACTAGAACACTGTACAGACCAAATCTACAGGTGGAATATGACCAGAGTGGACCCAGTCAGACTGGCCTCGGGGTGGCTCTTAAATATACAACATACAATTCTAACCTTAACCAAATGGACTGTATCAACCCTAAAATTAGCCCTAACCACAACCTGTCTGTGACTCCAGAAGCAACCAAAATAAAATGTGAAAATGTTGCTCTGCTCTGGACCAAATACCAAGACTTTAGTGAGTGTTACGTCTACTGCAGTGGTTCCCAAAGTGGGCAGGGGCAAAAGATTTGTTGATTAAATGTAATACGAATAGATGCAGTCTGTTTTAAATTGATAAACACCACATTTTATGATCACATAGGTCAGAAAGTACAAGACTTGGCTCAAAGAAGCAACATTGCTGCTAATGTAACATGTTTAGCTTTAAATGTAATGTTGTCATGGGAAGCGTTATATTCAAGCTCTGTCTCATACGCTGCTGTTTAAAGTGCACTTAACAAAAGCTGATTTAAAGCTGGGGTCTCTAACTTGATTTGTTTCGATGAATATTACATGTTGTTTGCCCCATTACAAAGAAAAGCACAAAGCTGATGTAAAGATAAGGCCAATCAAACACGATGTGAAAATTGCACCAACTGTATCCAACAAACTGCCTATTTCATTATTGTCTGGGTTTTGAGTTAGGTATACCAGCTTTAACGGGATTTAAAACAGGTTTAGAAATATCTTCAAACACAATCATGAGTATTTCCCAAAAATCACAGTTTTCAAAGTCTAAAAGCCCCAATCCTCTGTGAGTCTTACCTGATGCAAAGTCGCAGACGTTTGTTATAACTTCTGGACGAGATAAGATTCACAAATCCACAAAACGAACAGAACAGACCAGAGCAAACCAAAATATGTGTTACCGCTTCAACCAACAATACAGGAATGAGCATATCTGTGTTTCTGACCTCTGGGGCCAAAGTCAGGTTACCATGGAGATTAGAAGATGCGGCTGTTCCATAGAACCACGACACATTCCAATATCATGACATCATCACATTACATCATCCCATGTGTTTTTTTATGCTTTTTGTTATTGTTTGAATGCATTTTTTTTTTTAATGTATTTTATTGTGAAACACTTTGGTCGCTTTGAGAGTTGTAAAGAGCTCTAAAAAATTAAATTGATTGATTTTGATATGGCCTAAATTATGGCTTTGAGCGTCTTGTTTCAAGTCTTTTTGACATTTAAGAGTTTGAAGTCACTAAAATGGGGCTCATTTCTTATCATTCATCAGTTAAAGCCAAAATGTCGAGTTTTTTGTCTGCCCAGATATTTCTTCTTCCCAAACAGTTTTTTATGTGAGAGCATTTCACTTGTTTTTAGTATTTTCAACTTAAAAATCTTAATAAGGTTTTAGATAGATGGATACTTTATTGATCCCTGTAGGAGAAATGTAGGTGTCCATCCAAACAAACAAAACAAATAATTTGATAATTCTAAAAGTAGCTTACAATAGTATCAAAATGCAACAGCCCTTCAGGTCACAGCAGCAGAGGTGGAGTAGCCGCTTTGTTCGGACCATTTTCTCTGCTCTGGTCCAAAGTAAAATGCTTAATGCTTTATTAGCATTTTTCAAAAAGTTAGCATTCTTCAAGTGGATTTTCACCTGATACGCTTGGTTCAGACCATGAATCCTCTCTGCTCCGGTCTGGAGTGCAGTGCAAAACCATGAACACTGTACTGCAACAACATCTCAGGCAGAAAAAAGCAATAAAAATAACAAATGTAAAACGCAAAACAACAACTGTTTCAGAGACACTAAGGACTTGCTGATGTTTCAAGTGCATTCAAAAGTAAATTGACTTTTGATTTAACTCTGTGTGTTTTCATTGAGACACTTTACTCTCTGTGTGTTTTTGTTGTGATGGTACCTGAGAAGGCTCAAGAACTATACACTGTAGAGCCAAACATTTAAAACTAAAATACAGCTCATATGAATGTTCATCCCCCCAGAACAAAATCATTCCAAAAAAGATTGGACTGCAGAACTGAAAACATCATGAAACAAAAGTGCATTGTTTTGCTCTGATGAAGAGATGACAACGCGTGATACTAAATGGTTCAGGCCAATAAATGAAAATTCATTCTTTCTCTTTATGCACCACTGGGCTCTCTATTCACACAAAACAATCAGCACATTTTAATGGACTCTGTTTGTGCCTGTGCCGCGACAACAAAATTACAAATCAACTGCACTTCCTCCACTTCTAACACCAAGTTAAAAGATCTATAGGTGTAAAAAAGCAGGCACATCTTCACATCTTCACACTTTACTGGGGGAGAATTTATTAAATCATCTTGCTGTTATAGTATCAGGGTCACGTGATTAAATGTTCTATTGTTGGGTTCTTAAGACACTCATCATTTTCGGTTGTTTGAAAATTACAACCGAAAGAAATTGAGTTAATGGAGGTGTACTGTAATTGTAAATATAATTTTGTTATAGAATTAAAATTTGTGTAGGCCTAATGAAAGTTATGCTGCTGGACTTTCTATCTGTGGCAGCATACAAAAATTCAGTTCCACTAAGTTTGTCCTTCTCAAATAGTGCGAGGAAACGCTGGGTACGAGCTTGAAAAGGGTTCCACATCCTCCGTCTCTGTAACTGTGGCCGCTTTGTGGTGCTGCCTCTCCAGCAGGATACAAAGATTTGCACCGGGGATCACCGTCAGATCACCCCCCACGGTTCAGGTTCCAAACAAGAAGAATATCTTTGTTGAAGAAAAAGTTGGGGTACCTAAATTGTCCCTCCCATTAATAATGCATATTAGTTGTGCCCAAGTTTGAGCCCAGAAGTTAAATATTTAGGACAAACACCGCCAAAACAGGCGGAGTTTACCTGATTACTTTATTTTTTTATTTTTTTATAATTTGCACACTTTTAGGAAAGAGCCCAGTGTGTGTCACAATTTGACTTTATTCATTAATTTCGACCGAACACATTATCACTTAGGAATGCACTCAGAGTTTTACTTCAGTATAAAACATTTACATTATGCATTTTTGCATTAACCTTGTGGGAGTTTATTCAGACCCAAAACATTAAACTAATGGAAAGGGGAAACAATAAGAAAATTGTGATGAAAGGAAGGATTTGTGCTTTTTGACAGGTTGTTAAGGTGAATATTTCTCTGTTATGTCTATTGCTTCATTTGTCCATATGTTAAAGCTCACAATAACGGTCAACATTTTAGATTTGAAACAGTTTCCCCATTGTCATTAGGGTTTGGGTACCTGCTTTTAACACTTTCCAAACACAATGAACCTTACTAAACCTTTTAGTTGCTTACTCTCAAAACAGTTCCATCACTAGTTTCGAAATTAATATTTGGCCTTAGTCACATCTTTAGATCAACTTTTTTCAGACAAAGAAGTGAAACAGAGAGGACCGCCCTCACTCAGCCAAATACAAATACAAAGTAACGAAAAATGGTCTCAATATGGTAAAAGATGAAGGCAGCATGTACTCAAAATATGGTCTAAGAAAAAAGGCAGCATGTGGTCTTGCATTCCCTTTCTTGTCCAGCAGATGGCAGCCTCTCACTTATCACCATCCATTCCCTCACATATGAATAGGAGGCAGTGCTTTTCTGCAGATGCAACACTTTTCCAGACTGTTTTTTGTGCCTCGTTTCTGCGACTCCTCTGATTGGTCCAAAGTCAAAGCTGGGCACTTTTTTGGCTCCACACTCTCTATAAATACTGATCAGATGAGAAAAGTGTATACTTTCAACCCGAGTTGCAGCTTTCAGGAGGGACACCAAGGACTTTACAACTCCAACTATATAAAAACTGCATTCACTTTTTTTCATTTTGATCCACTTTGATACTTATTTGGCATTATGGCAAACTCCGGGCTCCAGTTATGTGCGTTCATCCTGTGTGTTTTGGGCTTGCTGGGCATCATAATAGCCACAGTGACTAATGACTGGGTGATCCATTGTAAATATGGCCTGAACACCTGTAAGAAGATGGACGAGCTGGGAGCCAAGGGGCCGTGGGCGGACTGTGTGTTATCCACTGGGGTCTACCACTGCTTCTCTCTGTCGCAGATGCTTGAATTGCCAGGTACGTGGGAAGTTGTTGTAATATTTCTTATTTGTTTTATTTTAAGGAAAAGGATCCCTAATTTGCAAACCACACAAACTAAGCTTTACTATTCATGTAACTATTCCTGGCTCTAAAATAGTTTGGTTCCATCATTAGTTTTCACGTGCATGTAATCTTGGCCTCTGTTATATCTTTAGATCAGCTTTTTCAGACATAAAAGTGAAATATCTCAGCCCAAAGTGTCATATAGTGACCCGCAGAGCTCTTTCTTACAAGCATGTGAAAGATAACGTGTCTGGAATAGGGTATAGACAATATGTTGGTCTGATTTGTTCACAACATTTTACTCAAGAAGACTTTTTGATAGGACAAAAAGAGTAAAGTAAGTACCCAAGCTTGTCTTACTAAGTATTTTTACAGAAAACTTTGAAGTTTTTGAGGAATTTGAGGAATTTGAACTCAAGATATATAGATACCATGTTGGAAGTAAACTAGTACACATTTTCTGATTCTGACTTTAAAGCTGGGGTATATCACTTTTGAAAATAAAGAAATCTCTTTTTTCTTTACAAAACTACACACATCCAAAACCTCTGAGCAGCATTCCCGAATGAGAAACAGCAAAGGTTTACACACCTCAGTGTGTAAACAGAATAAATATTAGTGGGAGCTAAAAGACGCAAAGCTAAAGAATCACTACTATCAAACTTTTTCCTATGAATATTACACATTTGTCTCAATAGAAAGAGGATTGTTAAAGTAAAATGTTGTGAACAAATAAGTTCCCTAAATGACATCTTTATCTTGTTAGAAAACTCTTGTTCATACTTGAATAGTTAAGCATGGATTTCATCATATATTTGTGGTTCTAAGCACCAGCTTTAAGGTAATTCAATGTTGGATCTAGAAATAGCCTGTACTAATCAGGATAACTAGCGAAATACATTACTTTAGCACTTTACCATAGACATACATAAAGAACATAGCCTTGAGGTATTTTTATTTATTTTGTGTTTATTTGCTTATTTCAAACTCTTACCAAATTCCCAGCACATTACTGATTATAGTGAATTTGTTCAAGGTAATGAGCCATTATGTTGACTCTCACTAATTACTCTGAAATGAAAACAAAATCCTCATCTTTACTTCATTGTTGTCTTAGCTATATTTACCAATGCATGTCGCTGCCACTTCTCTCAATGTTACTGTCTATTTCATGTTTGTCCAACGCAGCCCACATCCAGACCACCCGCGCCCTCATGATCACGGGCTCCATCCTGGGACTGCCGGCCCTCGGTGTCATCCTCATGTCTCTGCACTGCATCAACGTGGGCAACGAGCCTCAGAGCGCCAAGAACAAACGCACCGTGATCGGAGGCGTCATCACACTTATCATGGGTACATACTGCTGCTGCTACTACTGATACTACTGCTAATACTGCTACTGCTGCTGCTACTGCTACTACTACTACACAGCTACCACTACTGCTCCTGTTTCTACTACTACTGTCACTATGCCAGTACTACTATTGCTTCTACTACTGCTACTGATGCTGATACTACCAATACTACTCCTATACTGACTCTACTCCATCTGCTAAAATGCACAATACCATTAAAACCATAATGGGTAAATAACAATACTGGAACTGCTACTATACTCACTGCTACTACTACAGAAGCACCCATTTTTCTCATACAGCTATGTCTGCTTAATTCCTTAAGAATAATTAAAAAAACCTAACCCAGTCCCATTTTTGTTTACATAGTATGCCAAAAAAATATTATATATAAACCATTTTGAAATTTGAGATATTTTTGAGTTATTTTGTTTAGGCTTCAACATTGGGCCAGAGACATTTATTTTAGGAATTAGCCAATGTTTTTGTTAGAATTGTAGGGTAAGAAAATTTTAGTGTGGAGCGGCTAGTCTCCAGATCAGAAACTCGCCGTTCCACACAAGGGGGATCTGTATTTATTTTATGGGGCACCAGCAAACAGTGAAAGTCTGCAACAGATCCAAGGAATCTGCCTCAATACCAGTCTTACAATCTGATAGGTTTTGAGTACGAAATCAGCCAGGGATATCAAAAGATTGAAACAGGACGCTTAAATGATTTGAGTTAAAGTTAACGTGGGTTTATTGACTACAAATGAAAATAGAAAATATCAACGAAAAGGGTTTTGGTCACATTAACAGAGATGTTATGCATATCATATGAATCACACATTAACGTGGAACAGTCTTACTTTGAGCAGTCCGTATGGAGGGATGGTGATGAAGAAAAGGGTGAAGAGTGATGAGGATGAATAATGGGAGATGGAGTAGAGGTGAGGCCGGCAGTCCGCGTGTTCCTTTGTCCGAACAGAGAGGAGAAGAAAGCCAGCAACTCGAGTCCAGAACTTTAATTCCACACACACTTTCGCCTTCTAGAATAGCGGTGCGTCCGGAGCCGGGAAGTGGCTGATGGAGATAGCTGTGGTCTCCGACAGCGGGGTCGTGGGCTGTCCTCGTGGAGGTGGAGAGGCCTAAGTGGGTTACAGGCGCGGGTCGTGTAGGAGACACGTACCCCTGAAGTCGTTACAGTGATTTCAAGGGATACCAAGAGAAAGGTCTCTGGGTGTGCGTGGGTTTTATTGTATTCCAAGGAGGCGCGTCCATGACGTCATCTTTGTGCGTCTCTCTGGACCGACATGTCACAAGGCAAAAACACATCACACAGACATTCATAATCATATACCGATACACAGTGAATTTACATCACAGACAACGCCACATACGAGTAGGGTCCGTAACGGTTATCAAGACAATATCGTCGCAAAATGACAGTTTCGAGTGTCCGCCTCGGGTGTGATAGTGTCCAGTGTCCACTGGGGGGGCGCCAGAACGCCGTGGGTGAGTCGTCGGTTATCCAAGGACAGGAATGTCCTCGGGAGTAAGAGTTTTGATCTCTGATCTCGCCAGGCAAAAGGGGCAAAGATGTTTATCCCTGTGGTCGGTTTATTGCTCTGGTTGACACTTATGGTCTCAATGACCGATGATAGTCCTCTGGCCGACCCTGCCGTTCCTAAGGGTGTATTCAGACCTGCACATTTGCTCCACTTTAAACGGACCAGGATTCGTTTGGAACTCTGATCCGAAGCTTTTATGCAGGTCTGAATACACACAAACGAATCCTGGTCCGGACCAAAGAACCGAACCGAGACCCACTTTTTGAGGTGGTCTCGGTCCACTTCCAAACGAATTCTGGTCCAAGTCGAATCAGGTCTGAATACATCCGGTGTCGATCCGACACAACTCCAAGATACGTGCGCATTTTTTGGGCTTAACAAGCCACAGACAGAAACTGAGGAATTAGCCGTGCAGCGGCACGGTGGCTGAGTGGATAGCACTCTCGCCTCTCAGCAAGAAGGTCCTGGGTTCGAATCCCGGTTGGACCAGGGCCTTTCTGAGTGGAGTTTGCATGTTCTCCCCGTGTCTGCGTAGGTTTCCTCCGGGTGCTCCGGTTTCCCCTACCACTAAAAATATGTACAATAGGTCTGGCATGTGCCTCCTGTACTGGCACCCCCACTCCCAAAAAAAAAAATCACAATTGTAAACCGCTTTGAGACTCCGATGTGCAGTGAAAAGGCGGTATATAAATAAAGATTACTTACTTACTTACTAACTATGATGCTAACTATGCTGCTAACGCTACACAACAACACTGAGCCGTGTGCAGACCTGGAGCAGTGAGGAGACGCTGTGCAACAGGCTTATGGAGTTAAAACTGTTCACAGTATACATTAATGTTAATGGCAGCATCTTCAAACCATTTGCATTATTAAAAGCCTGACACTGTTTGACTCACGTCTCAAAGAGCAATATTCCGCATCATGTAGTGAATTGTGTTCTTTGGTTCCTACCTTATCCTCAGCGTCTGTTTGTCCCGTGGTTATTATAGATCCATGGTTTATCCACAATGCTGAACAGGGCCGTTATTATAATAGATCCATGTGTGGGACTGGGCACGGAGCGCACAGACAGTCTCCTTCGGCTTTCTCCTCACGCATTCTCCGACGCTGTTCCAATATTTAAAACAACGTGTTTCGCCTGCGTCATATGAGCTGCTGCTGTTGATGTTGAAGGTGGTTTTGCTCTAAAATGAGCAAACATAGGCAGAGCAGACATGCTGCACATACGAGCCCTCAATGTTTTCCTCCGGTTCCGCGTCTATCCTCCGTGAGCTCTCGCTGTCCAATAGGAGCGCCGATCGTCACACGTGTCAATATGTTTATATAAAAAAGTTAACTTGCAAAAAGGACAGTCTGAATACGAACCGGAGCAAAAGAAAAAAGTTTGGTCCGCTTTTGATACGGATCAAGCAAGCGGAGCAAAGGACTTTTCAGGTCTGAATACACCCTTAGATGTAACTGTGAGGTGTCCTTCCCCCCCTGGAGCGAATGTTTACGCAGCCCAGTGGCTGGTTAATGTCTGCCTGGCTTTGTCCTTTAATTCACCTTACATACCCCCCCCACGGCAGAGATGCACCTTCCGACAAGGTGCATGTCATGTCGGATATGCCGGGCGGGTGTCCTCAGTCGGTTGTCTCGCCTGTTCGGGTGTTAGTGTGTGATTTGTGGTGACATGTTATAACATTCTTAATGCCTTAATGTGACTCAGTAATTCGCAAGCGCCTAACTGGGGCCAGGCTCGTAGCGGTTGGGTCTCGGGCCTCTGGCTTGGTTTGTTGAGGCCGGGTTTTCTCTAAGGCGAGTCCTGGCCCTGCAGGCTAGTTCTAACCGGGATCAGGGGTTCAGGGAGTGAGCTACGGGCCGTGAACTCTAGGGTTTGGGCCGGTGCGTCTGACTCCTGGGTCTCTTGGTCTGGAAGACTCAAAGTTCCAAGCCAAGAGGTTAGCAGGAGTTTCTATTTTTAGGGGACTAGAATACAAAAATATAAAACTTCAAAAATAAAAAATAAAGGGTGGCTGTCTTGGCAGCGGTTGGGCGAGTCATTAAGGCACTCGCTGGCGAGGGGTTCCCATCTTGCTGGTTCTAAAAGGGGAGTATACGGATTACAAAAATATACGACGTAACAAGTGGGACTTTTGATTACGAGGGGAATTTCCTATATATAAACGGGGATGACAGGTATGATTGTCTGTGGGCTGATTGGGTATCGAGGTAGATATGTTTGGGTCTGAGCTGGTGACTCCTGGTGGGGTTTTTAGGCCCTTGGTTCACCTTCTGTGATAGAAAGAGTGACTGTCTCGAGTGGGTGGCTCTGGAGGTCCTCGTACTCTGAGTCGTTGACTTGGGGGCGCCGGCTTAAATTGCCACGCTCGACGGCGCTGTCGCCCCGGTTTGGTCGTTTACGGATCTGTCTCGTCATTGCCTTTTAAAGTTATCGCGGAGTCGTCTAACCCGTCTATTTAAGACAAAGGCCATGGCTACGGCCAGGCCATACCCAAGTCCTACCGCGGTGGCCAAGACCGTATCGGGGGCTGCCCATGAGTAGGTTACTGGTTGGTGGTTGATGGTCGGCCGCTTGGCAATCTCTTGAAGGAGGTTGTCTACGGCCGTAACGTCAACGGTTTGCGCCCCCTCGTAGGTGGCTTGGACGAGGGTGGAGGGTTGAAGTTCCAAGTCCTTTTTCTCAAAGAACTCTGGTACCTCGACCTCTGCCTCGTACTGGTTTGGGTACAGGTGGTATAATGCTAGGTCGCCTACGTGTAGGATAGCGCCGGCTGGGACGTCGACCCAGAAGGTTTCGTCCGGGAGGTTTACTTGGGACAAGGTGTCATGTTTGTCATAGGTCAAGGTCGCCGTTCTAAGGGGGGTGTTCACTAGCCATCTTGCCCCTACAATCTCTGCTCTGGTTTCGGTTACCTGGTTCCGAGAGGTGACCGTTGCGGGGCATCGACTCCCTGGAGTCATGGGCCTCAGGCCGCAGATGCCATCTGTGCTGTCCCTGACGCAAGGTTTACTGGGGCAGAGGTAGTGGATGTCCTTGGTGAGCGTGCACATCTTTAGATTTGGCGTTAGGTACAAATTCGAGTTACTGTCGTGGTAGGCTACTATGTCTGGTGTCTGGACTCTGACGTGGACATTGTCCTTCCAGGTCCCTAGGTTAGTGATCCCTTTTAGTCGGATTTTATCGCCGAGAACTATCGGTAGGGTGACTAGGAAGGCTACCTCGCGGTCCAGAGGATTGATATAGATGGGGACTGCAGCGCCCAGCGTGTACGCCAAGTGGGCTTGCATGGGGGTTACGGCGTCCCATGTGGCTACGGCTAGGATGTCCTCAACTAACGATAGCGGCACGAGGTATGGCGGGATACGGCCCATGGCTAGGTTTTCGATCGAGGAACTGAGGTGACGTAGCATGTCAGTTGGGTGGTCAGCTGAGTATGGGCGTAGTCTAATTGGAGAACGTCTAAGA